TCGCAGTATCTGCAGCGACATCTGCTGGACTGGAAGTTGTATTCCACTTGTTTTTGGCTGATGTGCGCCAACCATTCATGTATTTTATTTATTCCTTTTTGTTAATTAAGAATCGATACTTGGCATCAAGAATCGATGCAGCAGATCACAAAAATTAGAATGGCGATGCTTCGTCATGACGATTGTTTTTCACACCCCTAGTTTTAACCCGCTGTCTTCACGATCAGTTCTGTCTCTCCACCTCCTTTTTCCGTGTTTCATAGCTGTGCGCTCGGCTGTTTCTCCGCTGGCTCGACTCTGTCTCTGCGCTCGCGACATAATAAAGATATGAATGAACCACACTATCTGTCAAACAGGCTCAGCTTTTTTTCATCCAAAGTATTTGTTCGATCTAATCAACCAATCACCTTGGAAAATCACATAACTTGTTAAAGTTGCAAGTCTCTTGGAGTATGTCTACCTTTTTTTACATCTAAATTAGCTCAATTTCTTTTTGTTCCCTCTTTCAGGCAACAAGTTACAGAGATTATCTTTGTCTTGAAAGCCATAAGCACTTTGATGGACTCGCTTAAAAAGACACATCCAGAAAACGGTAAGCTCCAAACTGTAGCTCCAGAAATTCCTCCCCAATCAGCTTATCAATATCCCGTCCTCTGCTCTTTCTTTCCGTCTCACCCACAGTGGATGGCAACACATGGGCTCAGGTGATTGCTCTGTACCCTACGCTGGTAGAGTGCATTACCTGTTCTTCGTCTGAGGTGAGCGCAGCCCTGAAGGAGGCCCTGGGGCCCTTTAAAGACTTTATGCAGCCACCCATCTCCAAAGTCCAGAACGGCGAGTCCTGACCGGGCTTACTCTACGCTCTCTGTTTTTATAAAAATGAAGGAATCTTGAATCTGGATTCTTACCCTGTGTGCTTCACAAGAGCTTGGACGTGACCTCCACATGAGCTCAATCTACACCGACCTGAAGCAGCCCGGCTCAGACCACACGGATGACTCCAGACTTTACATGCATCTTTCTGTGCTTTTCATATTATGACACTTAAAGTCCCGCCTCCATTCTCATACAGGCTGGCTACTATTGCCTGTTCTCTAGAAAAATAAGAGGACTTCAGTTTGTTTCATTCATCTGAAGAGGCTTTATTAATGTACAGTATGTGGAAGTAGCTTCATGTTGAGAAGAAAAACTTTTTCACCATTTCCAGTGCTGATGTTCTTGCAAAATGTTATGCAAAAAAGCAACAAACTCCCCAAATCTGTAACATTCCATGTCATCTTCAGCCAGCCATCTTAAAAGGGATGTACATGACTGTATAAAATAAATGGGACGATTCTCCAATCTGTCTGCTTGATTATAGCTGCGGCCTTGTGTTTCAAACCCGTTTAACACCAAAGATGGTGTCGGCTTTCATGATCTGCAGAAACCAGGAAGGATTTCAATTATTCATTCAGTTCCAAGCTGATCCTGGTCAGTAGTGAAAAAAGTCATTTTCTGTTTTATTTTATTGTAAAATCATCCAAACATCTATCATTTACATCACGATGGAGGAATTTTAGCCCACTTTACTGAATAGTTTTTTTTTTGTGTGTCCAAAACCACATGAAAGTGTTTTGTAGGATAAGGCTTGTTAGACGTCCTACGATAGTTTATGGATGTATGGCTGTTCTGATAGGGAGACGAATCCATTGCTCCTTTTATTAAGGCAAAATGCCACAAGAGGTCAGTCTGGATTCTTTTCTTGACCTCCTACATAAGTTGTCAATGCCCTTCTGGAGTTAACTTGGTAGACCAGCCAAGGTTATGTAAAGCTGAATCAGATCCTCCCAAAGAGTGATTAAGCTGTTTATGATTTAATGAAAGGATTATTACTTTTTTTTCCCCCATATAGCAAAAGGTTTATTTTTAATACCTTCTTTACAAGGAAAAGGCCAAGATCAAGAGTGAAAAAGTGCTAAAGATAGACTTTTCACAGATGTCAACAGATCTTCATTCATTACATTGTGTTTCTATTCCTCTTAAACTGCTTTGATTTGATTTTTTTGCATGGCCAAATTTTCCTGAAATCCACACAGTGCTTTTAGAAATGAGTAAAACATTTTGCTGCAGCTTTAAGGAATGCAGGTGAACACCTTTGTGTGAGATATGTGATTAAGAAATGTGCAAATTCAGGTAAAAAAAAAAAAAAAAAAGCTAAAACAAGTATGGAAGGACATGCCAAAAAGCAAACGGATCACTTGCATTGTGTTTAACATGATGTCACCAGCGGTGTGTTTTCTAAAGAAGGCAGTTGATTCATTTTAATAAAGAATAAGAAAACATCAAAACTAACCTGGCTGCATGTAATACTGTAATAGAGTTATGCTGCTCCTAAATTACGATTTGGCTTTTATCCTGTCCTGATTTTTTTTGATAAATTTCATTTGCCATGACCAAATCGGATTATTGCCAGGTTCGCAGGATCAATAAATCATTTAAATGGACCCTGAAACCAAAAGGAATATAAACAGCATTTATTATCCCACATTTGAAAAAGTAGACTAAAAGAAACTGAATCCAGTTAAATTTTAGAAGTATTGAAAGGATTTCAAAGCCGTTTCTGAGGTGTTGATGCTATTGGACACAGCAACAGAAATGTATCCAAAATCAACATCTGAAGTACTACAGCACTTATTGGCAAACATTTAGATATTTGATCACAGTCTAATACAAATACTGAGGCATCCATGTGAGGACTCCAGAGTGGAAAATCTACTAAAAAAATTCTTAAGACAAGCATGGTGGTGGCAGTGGAATGATCTGGGGCTGCTTTGCTGCATCAGGCAAGTTGATGGGGCAATGACTATTACTCTAAACTCGAAGGGGACTGATTTGCAGAGTCTTTATGGACTTATGATCAAGCATCCATTTAGTTATGGTGCAGATCATTTATCTAACGCACAGCAGCAAGGTTCTAGGCAATAAAATGAATGCTCTAATTACAGATCTAAAGCCATTCTGCAGCTCCAAAACCCTCTGGTGTGACTAAAGTAATTTAGTTTATATTTTATTCATTTATTTAGTTCGAGTTGAGGAATAAAATTACAAAATTTATATAAAAATGAAATGTATTGAAGGAGAGGCAGAAAACCCATACAAGCACAATTTAAAGCCTCAACCTTAAATTAAAATCTATATAAATATTAAATATACATCAATTTAGAATTCATACTATATATATATATATGTATATATATATGTATATATCTATATATATATATATATGTGTATATATATATGTGTATATATGTATGTATATATATGTATGTATATATATATGTATGTATATATATATGTATATATATGTATGT